CTGCGTGCGATTGAAAGGCGCGGAGTGGGCACAGGGAGGAGAGGGGAGGGGAGGGAGGGGGGCGGGCGAAGGGAGTGGGAAGGGGGGTGAGGGGAGGCGGTGGCGCATCACCTGGTCCAGCTCGGAGAGCTCCTCGTTCTTGGTGCCCAGGCTGCCTGCCGGCGCGTCCTCGGCCTGCTCGCCGCCCGACTTGTAGAGGTTGGCCTTGCTTTGCACGACTCGCTTCGTGTGGACGATGAAGGCGGTCGTCGCGGGGAAGGTGGTGACGCCAGCGAAGGCCTCGTGCGTTTTGATCTGCGGGATGATGCCCTCGCCGGCCTTGTCCCAGACCGCGCCCTGGTTGTACGTGCGCTCGGGGTCGCCGGAGTAGCCCATCTTGGACGTCAGCCAGGCGAGCGGGCCGGCGGCGGCGACTTGCGTCAAGAGAGCCACGTCGCGCTCGTAGGTCCACTTCATTTGCTTCACCTCCTTCTCGGCCTTGCCGTTGGTGGCGGCCGCAGGGGTGGGCGCGGGTTGCGCCGCGGTCGCGGCCTGAGGAGGGGGCGAGGCGAGGCGGCCGTCAGCAGAGGGGCGTGGGAGGGGTCTGGGGCGAGGACGCCGACGCCACCTGCGCCTCGGGCGTCGTGCTCATGAGTGTGCAACGGTTCTACACTTTCGGCCCCGATCTGTCGGGTCGCCAACGGTCTACACTTTCGACTGGCCCTCCACACTTGCGAAAAAGTGTGGAAGCAAGTGTGGAACCAAGTGTAGATCGCTGCAAAAACCCTCTGTTCTTACAGCAGTGGCGGTCCACACGCGGTTTCTCTTGCTGCCGGCTGTCCGCCGACAGGTGGAGCCTCGACACTAGGATTCCTACCGCTCGCGACGCGGTAGGCAAGGTAGCGTGGGCGAGCTCCGTCGGAGGCGGCGACGCCGACGACAAGCTCCTGATGGCGACCAGCCTGCTGCGTTCAACGCTGCAGCGCGAACCAGCCGGTTCGTTCTGCGCGTGCCGCGGTGGCGGGCTCGACGGCTCTGCGATCCGGCTGGCGCTGCACAGCTGGCCCTGCCTCTGGAGCGTCCTCGTGCGGGTGGCGGAGGTGGTCTGCGGGACGGTGTATGAGGTCGTGTTCAATCCTGGCCCGCGTGGTGTGATGAAGATGCCGAGGGTGCACACGCTGCTGGCGGCGGCGATTCGGCACCAGGTGATCAGCCTCGCAAAGGTTGGCGATGGCGTCGCTGACGCCACCTATGAGGAGGTGCAGGCCTTCGAGGAGGTGGCGTGGAAGGTGAACCGGCCAGAGCAATGGGACTCGTTTCGCGCGCACCGCCCCTACTCCCTCAAGGGCTACCACAGCCGGGCTCCAGACGTCGGCGCCCCGGCGCCCGACGGCGTCGTCCACTCGCTCTCTTCGGGCGCAGAGATGCGGCTGCTGTCGACTGCACGCGCCCTAGATGACAGCGAGAGGTCGCAGCGAGAGGTCGCAGCGAGAGG